ATATATAGATAGATAGATAGATAGATAGATAGATAGATAGATAGATAGATAGATAGATAGATAGATACTTTATTTATCCCCAAGGGGAAATTCAAGAAAAAATGTAGGTCTAAAAGCCACAAACAGCCTCAGAAATCCGGCCTTACCTTTGCTGTCCTGCTGCCAGAGCTGATGGAGACCGAATCAAAGCTCGTTTAGGGAAAAACTCCCCACAGAAAGCTGAGAGGGCAGTTTTTCTCCTGTAAATAAATCAGTCTTTAGGTACCTGGAGGAATGTCTGATTATGTCTCCAGTGCTTTTTAGTGCAAACGTGTACAGTTTTTATCTCATTCTGAGAGGAGAAGCTCATGTTAGAAGTGTTCGGATACATTTTCCAGTTTCTATCTGTTATTTCTCTGAAGAATTAGGAGCGCTTCAGAGTGAGAAACGCTGAGCCAGAGCTGTGAGAAATGGTTTGATGAGAAAACCCAGTGGGGGGGTGCGAGGCTCTGGTCAGATCTCCCCCTCGGACAGTCTTATTTATCCTCCCAGCAGGCTCTCTACTGCTTCCCAAAGCAGCAAAACCACTCACAGTCTCCTCATGAAGCCTGGAGGCAGCTTCAGGTGGACTTATTTAGCCTAACAGGGATTAGCCGTCGGGTCCTGAAATGACCAATTAATAAACAAACAATCAGCAGAGCGACAGGAAAGAGCTTTAAGTGAAGAGGAGCAGAAAACAAAAGGGGAATAAGTGGAGTTTACTTCAATTTCTTACAAAGACACAGATATTTTAGACGTCTGTGTTTTGGATGACAGCAAAAGCCTAAAACAGAGACAAATAGAAACCCTTTTAAATCGTCTCATGGAGGAAAAAGTGATGAGAAAAGGATTTAATCTTTGAATCAGATGGTTGCTGGTTTGATCCCCCTGATTTGACTCCCACCAAGCCCCTCAAAGGGCCAGAAGATGTCGTCTAAACTGGAATTAGACGTTTGTTATTGTGTGTTAGGAGTCAAAGAACAACATCTATCATCTCAAAAGCTTCAGAAACCCTCAGATTGCTCTGAAATGCACCAGAAAAAACTCCCTTTTGACTGGAAGAAAACTTCATCAGAACCAGAACCATCTCCAGTTCTAACTAACACTAAACCAACACTTTAGTGTCCATAGAAAGGCAGAATACCAGCCAAAAGCTCTCAAAAACCGTGTAAAAAAAAAAGGCTAAACAGCTGATGTTTCTCTGGTGGGGACTAAAAAAAGATAAAAAAACTGATCTAGAGACACTGGGAATCTATTTTTGGGCTGAAAGTGGTGCAAACAAGTAAAGATTTATCTCTTTTTTTCCCAAAATGGTGAGCTTTGTTAGTGTTGTATGAATCTATCTAGACGTGATTTCTATTCTTAAACCCCTTTAGTTTAATTTGAATTAAATGAGTTAAAAACCGAGCTGCTGACCCTCCGGCTGGACTCGTGTGTCAGCGATAAAAACACATGACTGAGATACAGGAAATTGCTCCTCAGAGGCGTTTCTCATCTCTGTTTGACGCCTCTTCATCTCCTCCCTCACCAGGAATCGATCTAACCGGAGGAAGCGTGTCCTTAAACGCTCCGGGAGGACAGACTTTGAGCTGTAAAAAACCCGGTCAATTACTCCAGAAAATTCAACTGAAAATGAAATTACTCCAGAAAATTCTAACTAAAAATTAAATTACTTCAGAAAATTAAAACTGAAATTAAATATCCAGACTTGACATCAACAGGAACATTTCAAAATAAACTGTAAACAAAAATGAAGTCGTTATGTTACAAGGAAAAATAAGTGTGAAAAAAAAGCTAAATAAGTATTAATGAGAACAAATCTTTGATTTAGTTATTAAGACCACAAAGTGAGCTTGGAATTACTAAGTCATTCTTGTAAATTCTGGCTATTTTACCCACAATGTTAGAACTTTATTTAAGCAATGTTCCAATTTTGTTCTCATGTTACAATTTTATTCTCATAATATTACGATTTTATCCTCATAAGTTTTACGATTTTATTCTTTTAATGTTACTATTTGATTTTCATAATGTTCCGATTTTATTCTCAAAATATTATGATTTTATCTTATTCATTTTACGATTTTATTCTCATGTTACAATTTTATTCTCATGATGTTAATATTTCATATATATGTAATGTTACCATTTTATTATCATGATGTTACGATATTATTCTCATAATTTTTCAGTTTTATTCTCATAATTGTCAGTGTTATGATTTTATTCTCCAAAATGTAATATTTTATTCTTATGTTATAATTTTATTCTCATGATGTTAATATTTGATTTTTCTGATCTTACGATTTTATTCTCATAATATTACGATTTTATCTTCATGATTTTACAATTTTATTCTAATGTTACAATTTTATTATAGTGATGTTACGATTTTATTCTCAGTATATTATGATTTTACTCATAATGTTACAACTTTCTCCCCATAATATTACTGCTTTATTCTAGTGATGCTCCCAGTTCTCATAATGTTCAGACTTTATTCTCACAGAAGTAATGTTACAACTTAATTTCCACAAAAAGCCCCTGCTGGGACTTAAATGTGGACATAGAGAGCTGGTTTTCCCTCCGTGGTTTGTCTGTTTGGGGCTGACCGGTGTGTTTCCTGTTTCCAGGCTACACGTTAGCCACTAAGCTGCGGAGACACGTGCGGTCAGCCCACCTGCAGCAGAAACCCTTCAGCTGCCCCTGCGGCGCCGCCTACACCGTCCGGCAGAGCCTGCTCAGGCACCAGGCCCAGCACCAGGCGGGGGGGGGGGGCCGGGGGGGGGGGGGCCCGGGGGGGGGGGCGGGGGGCAGCCAGGGCCGGCCGGGTCCAGCCCCGGGCCACCAGAGGCCCACCAAAGGCCGGCCCAGGAAGAGCCAGGAGGCTAGCACAGCGCTAACCCAGGAGGCTAGCATAGCGCTAACTCAGGACGTTAGCATAGCGCTAGCCCAGGAGGGGGCGGGCCCAGAAAAGGGGGCGTCGGCCGGGGGGGGCGTCCAGCACGCCGTGCTGTACGTGCAGGCGGAGGACCC